ATATGAGAACAAACGGCTCAGAAATGTGCAGCGGTGTGATATTTCAGAGAGGATTATGGCATGAGATTACGGATCCTGTGGTTTATTTTGCCACTGTTGTCTAATGCCTGATGTGGATTGTACAATTTCAATTGTACAATTGTCTCTTGAGCAGACTCTTCAGGCTTTGGCTTGTTGTATGGTTGTGGGTGTTTGTCCTAAGAACAGTTGGTGTGGCTCAAAGCCAGCACAAATGCTGTAGACTGCCACCCCATCCTCCCATTCCTCCGAGAACACTGTCAGGATGAGTTAATTGATTCTAGTAGGCTTTTCAATTGTTCTCCACATTATCAGGAACTGTGATGGTGTGAATGAAGGATGGAACCTGACATGAAAATAACCAATATCCTTAGAGACCAAAAAGAGTTCATGGCTATGACTTTTGAAAGTCTACAAAGTCTCCAATAATAGGTGTATGTACACAAAATTAATAATAATTATATATATATATATATCAAACTTATGCTTAAAAGATGAGACAAATCATTTCATTTTGAGATTTGGTGCTCAAAAAAGATGTCTTATTAGTATCCGTGTTGAAAGTTAAAAACCTTAATACCTTTTTTTCAAGATTCTTTGATTAACAGAAAGTTCAAGAGAACAGCATTTGTTTAAAGTGACGTATGTATTTATGTATGTATATGCTATTTGTTTACCCAAAGTATACCTTTTAAAGCTGGTTGTTATGCAATCTGCAATCAAAAAGAAGGTGGAAAAAAGCAATGGAAAATAAAGAATAATCAGAAGACATAAATTGATAAGACAAAAAAATACAGTAGACTTTTTGGTTATGCAAATGTTTTACCCCATGATTTACTCACCCTCAAGCCATCCTAGGTGTATATGACTTTCTTCTTTCAGACAAATACAATCGGAGTTATGTTAAAAAAATATCCTGGCTCTTCCAAGATTTATAATGGGGGTCAAGATTTTGAAGCCCAAAAAAGTGCATCCATCCATCATAAAAAGTGGCCCACATGGCTCTGGGGGGTTTATAAACGCCTTCTGAAGAGGCATTTGTGTAAAAAAAATATCCATATTTAAATCTTTATAAACCGTAATCTCGTCGTACACGCATTCACGAGAGAGAGTGGCGTTCCAGCGGATGTCGTAGGACGTATGCGTAGCGTATAAGCTCCGGTGAGAAGCAACAAACGCGGAAGCGCAGAGTTCACGAATTAGAAGTACAAAACAAGGATTTGTAAAGAAGAATGTTGGAGGATTTCTATATAAGCCAAGATTAGACTGGTTTTCCTTTGCTGTAAACAAAACTTGGTTCTCGCAAGGCTAGCATATTCTCACCGGAGCTTACGCTACACCTACATCATCCGCTGAAATGCCACTCTCTAGTGAACATGTGTACGACAGCCAGCGGAAGCTAAAGATTATGGTTTATAAAGTATTAAATATGGATATTTTTCTTACACAAACACATTGCTTCACTTCAGAAGGCCTGGAGCCGTGTACAGTACTTTTTGATGGACACACAGACGCACTTTTTTGGGCTTCAAAATCTCGACCCCCATTCACTGCCATTATAAAGCTTGGAAGAGCAAGGACATTTTTAAATATAACTCCGATTGTATTTGTCTGAAAGAAGAAAGTCATATACACCTAGGATGGCTTGACGGTGAGTAAATCATGGGGTAATTTTCATTTTTGGGTGAACTATTCCTATAAGGGAACATTCTATTTGATAATTTTGCAAACTTCATTCGATTGTTATACTTTTGAATATTCTCTTAATGTTCTATAACACGTAATAACATTTTTAAAAACAAATTCAGAAAAAAAGAAATTCATATACAATCTATAATTAACATTTTTGTGCTAAAGTTTTGAGAACATTATTAATAACCACATAACTCCAGAATAAATGTTCTGTTAATGTTAGCTTACTGGAAGACCTTTTTTTTTTTTTTTCCACTTTGAGAGAACCTTGCCATTAGCTAAAGTTATGAGAACATTCCCTGTTAGCTGGGTTCATTTCATCTTTGACTGGTTGAATCAAATCAACCTGGCCAGAATGTAAAAACTAAATATTAATAACATGTGACCACCTGGAACACTGTTTTAAATGCCTAGCTCACTTTACATAGTTTAATCGGGGGGAAAAAATCAGAATTTTAAAATTCAGAACAGAGACACAAAACAAATACTGTGGAGGATAAAATGCATTCTTCATTCATCCATTCAGGCTTAATTAGGCAAACAAGGGAGATCAAGAGAAGGGGAAGCAAGTGAATTAAAGAAGAGCAGTGCGTTTTCTGTGGCTTCATTACAGGTAATGGGCACAAATCAATCACTACTCTCAACATACGCTAGTGGTCATGTTTACATTCAGACAAAAGCTGGTTGTGTATTCATTTACAAATGAAATGCACGTCATGGAGAGATGAATAATGTAAACAGAATTAACCACATCAGAGGAAATATGTGCACTGCTGGAAAGAGTCTTAAGGTTGCCATGACTACAAGTGTTTCATGTCACAGGTCCAGCGAACAAAAGATTTATATTGATTGTCTTGGAAAAAAGTCTTAACCACGAGGCTATTACTAGAACAGCTGTACTTGGCAAAGAGATTACTCTTTAAAATGCTCCATATGGCCGATCATTTTAGTTGCCAGAGTCTTCAGTAGTAAGCAGAGTGGCTCAGAGATGATGCTGGGTGAATCACAGCCTCTCATTGTCATAGATTGTTTCACTTTGCTTTGTGATCTGACAGCTTATCAAGCGCCAGTGTGCAGTTAGACAGTCTGTCAGCCTCATGTTGTGTTATTACCTCTTGACTAAAAAGAAATGTGGAAAAAATAGCATCTAGCAACAATAGAAAACCTATTGTTTCTTTGCAGTTCTACAGTGCGTTGGCCATACAAGAGACGGATTCAAAGGGATTTTTTGGAAGTCCTTTTGTGTACAGTGTCTCCTATAGCCTTGTTGCCATGTGAACAGCCTGAGCAGGAAATTCAAAGAGCTTTTCAAGAGGGGTCTTATATACTGTATACATTATCCAGACTGATGATATGAAATTAAGAATAAATAAGCATGTAATCAATTTAACCTTAAAGGAATAGTTCACCCAAATATGACAATTTGCTGAAAATATACTTACCTTCAGGTTATCCAAGATGAGTTTGTAGATGAGTTTGCTTCTTCATTGGAACAGATTTGGAGAAATTCAGCCTTACATCACTTGCTCACCGGATCCTCTGCAGTGAATGAGTGCTGTCAGATTGAGAGTTCAAACAGCTGATAAAAACATCACAATCATCCACAAGTAATCCACACGACTCCATCAATTTAAAATCTTGTGAAGTGATAAACAAATCCATCAAGAGAATTTTCAGTTTAAACCCTTGCTTCCAGCTAAAACCTGAGTCCTCTATCCATAACATCACTTACTCCAGTGAAAAAGCCATTTTGTCTGAATCAGGAGAGAAATATGCACAGCTCAAGAATAGTTTACAAGCAAAAATGGTCCAAACCAGTTCTAAACAAACATTTTAGTGGATTTTAATGTGAGAAGACAAGAACGAATGGACTTTCACTGGAGGAAGCATTATTATGGAGTCTTTGGTTTTTGAGTAAAAATACCTTGATGGATTTGTTTCTTACAAACACATGGCCTTTCACTTCACAAAACATGAATTAATGCAATGGAGTCTTGTGAATTATTTTAAAGTTTACATCAGCTGTTTGGACCCATTTGCTAGAGGACTCATTGGCAAGTGATGCAATGCTAAATTTCTCAAAATCTGTTCAGATGAAGAAACAAACTCTTCTACATCTTAGATAACCTGAGGGTGAGTGCATTTTTAGATGTAAAATAGCATACTGAATGTCATACTTCAAAAATGAGGCAAACTAAAGAAGTACAGATGTCAAAGGGTCATGATTTTTAATTTGGTTCCAAGTTATTTTAAATTAAATATGTACATCTCAGAGGGCCAAAACATAAATTAAATTCATGTCTATTTCACAAACAAACAGTTTTTGCTTCACTTTACACATACATTGCTTGGGAAAGTGGTGCATGAGAGGCACAGCAGCATTTCAAGTCCTGAAGTGTATTAAATATATCCGAAACTGTGGAAAGCTGTGACCTTAAATATGGTATTATTGCATTCAGTGGCAGAAACGTGCATGGCATCAAATGCATTCACCTCACCCATGATTCTCTTCAATACAGTTCCACATTTCCAGAATATTCTGCACATCTTCTACAAGCATTACTTCCTATAGATTTCTCGTTATCCTTGTGTGCTTCACAGAGGCACATTTAACATGCCAGAGTGTGTAACACATTAGACCAATCAACACTACTGAAAAGTGTGAGGTCCCACCGTATTTTCCTTTCTTATCCTCTTCCCAACGTCACAACATTCGTCAGCTATTACCAAAACATGATTACCACAATCTGTCAGCCATCACACAGGTTTAGACCATCCTGTGCTGATGAGGAATAAATGGGGTTGAGAGTGAAGGGTTTATTGTCTGTTAGTTAGGGCTATAGGTCTTGAACCCTACAGTGGCTCTCAAACAGGGGGTCTCAGTAAGCTCCAAAATGTCTCAAAATATGTAACATAAGTAGTTTAATTTAACTATTTGAATGTATTATTTAGCAAAATTATTAATATTATATAACATTAAATAACTTTTTTTTTTGCATTGTGTTTATTATACTTTTAAAAATAAAGGCTCATTTACTGGCATCAGAGGTTACGTGAAGAAACTTTAACATTCATAGAACCTTTACATTGCACTAAAGGTTCTTTAAAGTGAAAACAATTTCTTCACACTAAGAAAAAAATGATTCTTTTAAGAACGGTTCACTTAAATGTTCTTTTGGGAACCAAAAATGGCTTTTCTATGGTATTGATGTGAAAACACCCTGTTGGAACCTTTATTTTTAAGAGTATGTTCTAGAAAGTAATTACCTTGAAAGTAATAATTATCACCCTAGTTTCTTTAAATAAAAAGGATTAAAAACAAGCATGTGTTTTTGTTGTCATTTCAGCAGAAGAACAAGATGACATAATTGTATGTGTAAGGGGGGCCATGAAATATTGACTTTTAGGGCCTTGAAATTACAAAGATTGAGAACCACTGTTCTAACTAACAGCATCCCATCTGTAAGGACAGAGCTGATACAGGACACAAGTAAAAACAGCATTGTGTAGCAAAAGCTTTGTCAGGACAGAATGTCTGTTCATGGTGATTAATGCTGAGAGGCATATTGCTAATGTTCATAATAAATACCAGAAAGTTACATATCGCAAATGTTATTTCAATGCTGATTATGTGAGTCAATGAAAATAGGCTGGGTACAGTTCATTTGTTTTTGGGCTGTGCTGCTATATAAAGAGCTACAAGACAGTAGAGAGCTCCCCCGACTGTCAGTGCCATAGTGGTCCTGTACAAGAGTCTGTCTGGAACACCACGCTTCAGATGAACAGGAATCTCATCTGATGCCTGGATGAAAAAAGGAGGAAAAAACAAGTTGAGGAGAAAAGAGAGGGAAGAATTATAACGTATGCTCCACTTTGCTGTTTATTAAAGGGATAGTACACCCAAAACTGACAATTCTGTCATTATTTACTCACCCTAATGACGTTCCAAACCTGTATGACTTACTTTCTTCTGCGAAACACAAAATATTATATAATGTTGGTAACCAAAACTTACTTCCCTTGTATTTTAATCTATACAATAGAAGTCAATGGGAACTGAAACTGTTTGGTTCCTAACATTTTTCCAAAGTATCTTCTTTTATGTTCAATAGAAGAATGTAAGCCATGCAGGTTTGGAATGATGTGAGGATGAGTAAATGATCATCATTTTCATTTATAGTTGGACTATCCCTTTAACTCAGCTACATAGCATAAAATACATCATATACATACCTGAAATATCCTCTGGAGGTCTGGCACCTTGTTGCCACTCATATACTCCACTGCAGCACTCGATTCAGACACCAGTGTAGTTGGGGTGGTAAAGATGATGGTAGGGGATTCAGCAGGTATATTTGACCTCAATCCCTGAAGAAAGTTTACAAGCGAGTTAGGGTTATTCATTTTTGTTCACTATGACTACATAACGTTTTTACTCAAATCACCATCTATCACAGTGGTTCTCGACCTTTTTGACCCCAAGGTCCCCTATTGTCCACAACAATATTGAATAGCAATATTTTTGTAAAATATCTGTATTCACAATTTCTACCTGACAAGACATATTACAGTTTAGCATAACTAGAAAATGTGTATTCATGATAAAAAATAGTTTTAATATTTTATACATTTACATGACCTTTCCAAGTTTAGAATTTCATAGTTTTTTAATTAATTAAAATTAAACATTTTAATTAAAAGCATTTTAAGTCATCTTGAGGCCCTATTCGAAGTTTGCGGACACCTTTTTGAGAACCACTGATCTATGGGCTCTTGTTCTATTACCTTATGTTGTGAAATCAGTTTACGATTGTACAACTGAATTTGGTAACTTACTACTAAAACTTAATGATGAACTGTTTAAACAACGGAGCTATGAACAAGCATACACATGCATATAATTAAATGTAACTGTATCCACTACGTTGATGTTGGTGTGCACAGTCAGCTCTCCGCTTTTGATAACAAATCGCCTAAAATTAGCCTGCTTAATAATTTCTGTTAAAATAGAGTTAGAGGAATGTATTTTACACATCGAACCACTATTTAAAATCACCTCTATGGGTAACATGAAGCATGCGGCAGATCAAGGTCACTAAATTAACCTTTTAGAAACGGAATCGGGCGCACATACCTGCGGGCTGTAGGCGGAGGATGACACAGCTCCCGTCAGTCTTTGTGTAAATCCACTAAATTTGTAATACATTTTATTAATAAGTGGTAACCGGCGAGGACGAGGTGATAGTGACCGTCGGGAAGTCTTCTTCTTCTTCTTCTTCTTCTCTCGAGTTTTTTTTTTGGCGCATTGGCAAACCAACGTTAAAGGTGCATGTCCGCCACCTACTGGTCTGGAGTGTGAAACGCACACGGTTCAACTATGAATTATTCAACTATTATAGATAATTTTTTTTTTTTAAATAAAATAAAATGATTATAATAATAATAAAATAATAAAATAAACCAAAAAATTTTTACGTAAATAAATACAAAATTCCAAACTTCAAACTCTTTCCATTAATCTTGTCTTTTTTAAATACTTAAACAATTCTCCATATATTCTTGATTGCATTACCCCATAACCTAATAGTGTCTTTAGAGATATACTATTAATTCCCATCAGTTCCAGTTCTTGGAACATCTGATGTCTTTCCCTTTCATACGCTATACATATTAAAAGAACATGCCTGCGTTTGTATCTTCTCAATCTTTTTTATCCAAGTTTTATTTGCAGAAGTACACACCATACAACCATAATCAATGTTGGCTCTTATTACTGCTTTATATATTCTTTCCATTGATTGACGCCTAGCCCCCCATTCAACTCCAGATAAGCATCTTAATATGTTTATCCCTTTCTTACATTTTTCTACACATATATATATATATATATATATGTATATACATTTATTCAAATATTTTGTTTATACCTGTGAGCATTTTGGCTGTTTTGTGTATACTATTTATATATGTGTATATAATTTATTTTTTGAGCTTGTGCAAAAATATTTTATTGAAAAAAGAATTTATTAAAAAATAAATGTAATTTAATTTAATTAAAAAAATAATTTAATAAAAAATAAAAATAATTTTATTGAAAAAATTAGCTTTCATTTAGAGAGAGAGAGAGAGAGAGAGAGAGAGAGAGAGACCCAAGCTTGTTGCCACACTTTTTGCTTCAGTAAATACTTCTTATGGTATGTTTTGGTCAGTTATGAAATACAAAACACGTCATGAAACAAAATGTTACCATACATAAACATCTAGTTGTTGTTTTGACCAGTGGAAATTCTAATTAATAAATTATATGATATTAAGACATATAAACCAAATAATAAATTGTCCCCAAATAAATATTCTTGAGCTGAGAAAAAATATGCTTACCCTAAGAAGAGAGACAGTTCAATGGCAGATTCCCATTGTCAAAATGTAATATCATGCCCCACTGTTGTCACAAAAGGTCAGCATGTGTTCAGTGAACTGTATCTTTTCTCCTGGGCAATAATGGTGGAAATGTGTAATAATTTTTGAGTTTCAAAAATAAAACCACCCTGAAAAATATTCACAGGAGAACTGACACCTAGACCCATCCATATATTAAAACACTCAGGAGCACTTTGCTTCATATATTTAAGATTATATTTATGTCACATTCCTTTCTGTATTATAATTAGAGAAAGAATAACGCTTGAATCCATAAACATTTCTTTATTTTCCTCATACACATAAACAACCTTGCCTTAACCAAGTAGAATTCAATTTCGGTTACAGAAGAGAGCTACATAAGATTTCATTTGCATCATTATGACCCTTCAAAAATAGCCACAAATACATAGCTACAAAATGATACAGATATGAAGGCATACATCTCCTTACAGATGCAAAAATAAACTTTGTGTGGTGTGACAATTTAGACCGGGGTGGGCACTTTCCTTCAGAGTTTAGCTCCAACCCTAATCAAACACACCTGAACCAGCTAATCATTGTCTTCAAGACTACTAGAAGGCTACAGGCAGGTGAGTTTTATCAGGGTTGGATCAAATCTCTGCAGGAAAGTGGCCTGGAAGGGCCAAGTTTGCCCATCACTGATTTAGACTAAAGACAAATTATGTCATTAGAAGATAACCTGAATAAAACAATGCACTCTATCTTGATTATCACATTATTTTCAATTTAGCGAAAACATCTGTAGATTATATAACCTTAAGTCAATATATTTTCAAAGTGTTCTTAATGATGCTTCTTTATCATGAAATACTATTATAAAATTTACTGTAGGCCTATGTCCCCCAATGAATCCTTTCATGTTCCATATCCTACTAAATGCAAAATCCATCTTTTTATTCCAAGAGACACATAAACTCAGAAAGTCCCTTGAATGAGGAAAAAAGGTCTGATTTTGTGCTTGTATTCAAAGAGGAAGAAGGAAGCTAGTGACAGCCCTCCTACTGGTGAGCGTGGGGGTGAGGTGTTTGCTAATCAATTTAGTTAACGCCTCTTGATTCACACAGTCGTGTATGGACAGGTTGCAGATTTGTCGCTGTCTGGATGAACAGCTGATGTTTGTTTTTTGTGACTTAGTAATGTTAACTACCAATCTATGAGTAAGACTCGACAGTGACTGTAATGTCGAAACGATAAGTGTTTAGGCCCGTTCAAACCAAGAACTGTAACTATAAAGATAACTATAATAACGATAACTATATTAGCATCTACACAATGCACGATATCATTCTGTTTATTATAAGCTTGCGCTGAAGTTCTGTCATCTGCCACTTTTAATGCTCAAGCTCTTTAAAGCGGGTTGGATTCTGATTGGCTGTCAATGTTTTTAGTTGTTGTAACTAAACAAGTTGTTGTTTAGTTGTAAACTGTATTGTTCCTTTGTGCTAATATCAGTATAGTTGTGGTGTGGACTCTGCTATTCTTTTATATGTAGAATGACTTTATAAAGACCCCCTGTGGTGAAAATCAAGGTTTTAATGTTGTTTACATGTCTGTCTGGTGTCTGTCTGCTTAAAGCCAAACGATGTGCAAATTTGCACTTTGTCCTTAAAACTGTACCAAAGACAGTCTCAAAAATGCGATTTGAAACAGCCCATTTCCTAATGTCACTAACATGTAGCCGATCCCGTGTAGGGGCTTTTCATAATATTATCTGTCTAAGAACAAGGAACATGGTTTGTGTAACATTGTTAATGTATTTTGACCAAACGCTAAGGATATCAATTACAGTTAAGTGTCCGACATTGTAGAGAGCGATACATAAAATGCATCATGATTATGGCTAAAATCATGGTTAAAACATACAGTATATGGCTAAATTAATCCAATTTTGCCACTTGCCATTTTGTAGCGTTTACTACTTCGGTTAACCGATTGGAAGTGTAGCAGGTAGTCTGAGCTGATGTGACTGAATGGAGGCGGGGCTAATTTGCATATTGTATATACTAAATGAGGTAAGGGTTTAGACTTATATTCAAGTCATTTTAAGACAATAATATTTTAATGAAAAAAAAAACATTTAAATATGTCATTTTGCTTATAAAAGGTTTTAAGGGATAAAGGGGTAAAATTATTGACTGCAGGGGGACTTATTTTTATCTTTATTGTTATCATTATAGTTACTGTCCTTGGTGTGAGCAGGCCTTTTCACAGTATTTGCTTCGTTTCATGCTCAAACGCTTCTATTTGGCCACTAAAACCTTTTACTTTAGTTCCCCTTGCTTTGCCACTTTACTGGGAGCTGAATGAATGGTTTAGCAAGTCGGAGGGACCTCTCCATGGAAACACGAGAATTCGTGTAAGCTCCTTCTAGGCTGGAGCACTGTCAGGACACAAGGTCCCGCCAGATGCCCGTTCCAGGCAGCCAGGCCATCTGTAGTTGTCAAATGCCACAGTTGTCCATTTCATACACAGGAAATGCTGTTGGATCGCTTTTGTTCGTTCACACAAGAAGGGGGTTACAACATAAACACTGGCTAATGTATTTCCTTTGGATCGTAATGCTTTATTGTGCACTTTCCAGCTTTGGGCTGGGGATTTGCCTCTTTTGTCCTATTCCAGAATGAATCCCAGAATGTGTCCTTGAGTACAGAGGTACTTGTGTTTTTATTTGGATATAATAAGTTCACACAGAGAGTCTAAATGCTGATTTTTCCACATCAGAAGTAGTGTGTTCCTTCGCTATATTTCAGATCTTGGTTCAATATAAAGGCACAGAAGAGCAGGTGATATTACTAAGCTGAAGACCAGCAGGTTCTCCGGACGATCTATGCTACAGTTAGTTGAGAAACTCAGAAGAGAGACTTCGCACGCAGCGTGCTGAGCGGAATTTGAGTTCGTGGTAGCACTGCACAAAGCTGTGGTAGATAAAGGTAATGGGCAGAGCCAGCAGCACAATGCCACTCACAACGCACACGCCACCCAGCACGCGTCCCGGAATGGTGATGGGGTACATGTCTCCATAGCCGACAGTCGTCATGGAGATAATAACCCACCAGCAGGCTGCCGGGATGCTGGCGTAGTCCTCATTGCTAGTCTCCAGGTCAAGGCCGTGCTCCAACAGCTGTGCCAGGGCGCTGAATATCGCCATTGCGACGCAGACAAACACCAGCAGCATGACCATCTCACGGTAACACCTGCGCAGCGTAAGCCCGAGTGTCTGCAGCCCGAGGAAGTGACGCGCCAGCTTTATAAGCCAAAAGATGCGCATAATTCGTAGTACGCGCAGGGTGACTCCTGCTCGCTGTAGTTGAGGGTTTTCTCCTGTCAGCGCTGTCACAGCGGCAGACACGTAGTAAGGCGTGATCGCCAAGAGGTCAATAATGTTAAGGGGGCGGCGCACAAACTCACATTTGTCCCGTGAGACAATGAAGCGCACTATGCACTCAGCAGTGAACCAGCCAATGCATACTGCCTCGATAATCCTGTGAGAGATGGGGAGAATAGAGAGAAAAAGATATGGAAAGAAAATCAAAAAGAGAGAGTTAGAGGGTATAAGAGAGAAATATGATCACAATTAAAATTTCTGGGTGCAGTACAAGTTAAGCTCAATTTACAGTATTTGTAGCATAAAGGTGACTACCACAAAAATGAAATTTTATTTGTTCCTAAACTTCCATTAACATTAAAATACTCTCTGTTTCAATAGCCACAAAACATAAACAATGTGCATTTTTCTTATTAACATTTTAAAAGTGTAATGTTATATCCATTTTTACAACTTTGGCAGCATGACAACGCAACAATATAAACCTTAAAACCCTAAAATAACTAAAAATAATGACACCGTTACAGCTCAAATAATACACTGGTTTTAAAAGAAGAGTGCTTTTATACAAGTGTCTTACTGTCACCTTGATTTTTTTTTTCATTTTTAAGAAAACAATGGACAAATCAAAATCATTTTATGTGATAATCAACATTATGCCACAATTGCTTTCGATTCAGCTGAACTTCTATTGGACCCGGAATATCCCTGTACCAAACACGTCCTTGAATGTTACCAGTGAATATAAATATAAAAATAATAATAACCACTACACAATGGTGCTAAGTAGCCTTCAATTACGTTTACACTTTGCTATTGTACGTAAACAAGTCATGCAAAGTATTTAGATCAGATTCCATGCAGCCATGCAGTTAATGTGCTTTATATGGAAAATGTCCTCTCATTCAGACTCCAGTCTGTTGTTGACAGTGGAGTGTCAGTGTCTATGGAAGCTACGCTTGCTCAGTAGACCTTGAACTTCTAATTTAAAAAATCCCATTCAATTCCATTTTTATTTATATAATTGAGTGCACCTCGATATCTGTTAATATTTGAACTAACAAATCATTGTTTTAAAAGGCTGCATCTACAAAAGAATTTGCCCCTAAATTTGCATTTTCACTCTGAATGGTTTTACTGTACTGTTCAAAACAAATTTATAAAGAGCTGTGATAGACTGTTGTGGCAGGAAGGCATGCAAATAGGGCCAAGAATTACTTAAGTGAAGATGTGATAATATATGTACATGTGCCCACAAATGCCATAATGCTGGGTTAACAATGAATGCGTATGCTATAATCATCCTCAGAAGGCACGTGAACATAAAAATCTATACATTTAAACATTTGGACCTTTACAGGCAACAAATGAACGGACATTTAAAGATGAATACAAAACAAGGGAATGAGATCCACAAAAACATCTTTGATATCTTTGGAAATACTGTAAGACTGCATGCATGACAAACCTCACTGGGTTTATTTTAATCTCTTATCAGTTTATCATACACATATTAGAACACATACCTGAACCCTGAGACAAACAGTGGCCACTGTGGGAAATGGAATCAAGACTGCACTGGATACATAAAGAAAAAACCTACTCACAAATACTTCCAGACAGAGAGAGACGGGGACATAGAATACCCAAAATGACAATGCGGCTCATAACAGGGAATTATGAAACCATGACTGTAATTGTTAATCTCTGATGGAGAGTACCAGGAAGATGTCATGTTTACTTTGGATGACGACAAAATGTCCGCACAGAATATGGAAAACTAATTGTAATAATTTCTTAACAGGTCTAAATGCAGGGGAGACTGGGGAGTGTTCTGGGACACAAAGGGTGTCGTAACAGCATCACCAATTAGGCCACAGGGGTGAAATCATCACCCTCCTGAGGTAAAAGAAGAAGTTTTGAGTATGTTTGTAAAAATATAATGGGTCCAAAGGGCAGAAAACAATTTTGAGGCAATGAAATTATTTTCATCTTGATTATAATTTGATTTGCAATCATGTTAATGTATGTGAAATGTCATAAGGTGTATGCTCAGTAGGTTTTGTTGTTTAACTTGATAACTTGATGAGGGGGGTTGTAATGCTACTTTTCACCAACAAAGATTACATAGAACGATACAGTTTAAATTCAGCAAATGACTCACACATATTCAGCCTATTTTAAGAGTTGTTTTTACATAATTATTTTAAACAAGTAAATATGATTACCACAATAAATGTAAGCATGACCAAATATAAAATCTCCATGTTTTCAAATGGTGTTAAATATCATTCATGTAGTGAGGAAGGTGGTAACGTCAGTATAGGATCAGATTCCCACCAAATGTATTGCAGTCACGGATAAAAAAAATAACACGCGTGAAACCAATTTAAAAACGCAAGTAAAATTATATTGCACAAAATTTAAAAAACGAAAGCAAAGTTTTCAGAATAGCAAACAATGGTCACGGATCAAAAAATAATAAGTGTAAATCAAAAATGTAATAACGCATAAAAAAAAAAAAGCAAGAATCAAAACTTTAAACACATTTAAAATCATATTGCACAAAACTGAAATATTAATGCAAAAGTATCTGAATTGCACACAAAATAATGTTTTCCTTGGTTATATTGCTCTGTGTTTTGTGCTCTCAGACATTTTCTGCATATATTTTTATTTTTTGTATGCTTACAAATTTTTATTTTCCCTTCGCTCTTTATTCCACGTTCTGTGCTTCTTCTTCCAAATGTTGCGGTTAGAGTTTCATGTAAATCAGGGCAGGTTTAAAGGGTTAGTTCACCCAAACATTTAAATTAGCCCATAAATTACTCACCCTGAAGTCATGTCACTGCTGTACGCCTACCTGGCGATCCGTTAACATAAAAGGGGTCATATGATGTTGCTAAAAAGAACATTATTTTGTGTATTTGGTGTAATGAAATGTGTTGAGCCGTCCTAGCTACCTGTCGCGGTAATATTCACCTGTATTTATTCGCCTCCGGTCACATCACGAAAGGGAGCAGCCACTATATGCACCGGTGTTCTGTCGATTTGTGCTACCCTGTTAGATTTTGCTACCTCCCATTAAAACAGTGGGTAGTACAATTCGACAATGAAGAATGCTACCTGTAAAATTATGGTTTATTAACGTCTACACCTACCCCAACCCTAAACCTACCCTTACAGTAATGCAAAT